ACGACGTCCCTTCAGATTGTTGAACATTCCCATGCCCGTAGGATCTAAATATCTCGTTGGTTGATGACTGAAAGTTCGCGCTAAATTCACCCGGACAATCCAATTGAGGCAATAGATCGTCGAGCTCAATGAAAGCCGAACTATCTAAGAAAAGGTTGTCTTCCGGATAACTTCTCTCATTCTCCATCCTCAAAAAACCAGGTATATCTTTATCCACCTGGAGTGAACTATCCAGGTCACCAAGACCATTGTATATATCAAATTCTTCAGAACAAGGTAAGCTCTTCATCCCTTTTCCACCAAGTCCATCCTGGTAGAACCACAAACATATTTAGTATAAAAGAGGGAACAATTTCACATAGAACTCAAACTTGTAAAAATGTACGCTGCGATTCCAAACTGATTAGGATTTTGTTAGAAGCACATTTTACACACCTGGTCTATGGGACAGTCTAAAATAACCCCTCCCAGAAAATTCTGAAGTAAAAAATTATAAGAACGGACAAATTAAGTCCTCATGACACCAAAAGAATACTTTCAAAAGTAACAAATATATGAGAGCAAAAGAAGATTGCGCCATTAACAGGACCAAGGAATATGCAAGGAGGTTGAGCACTTAAGGGTTTTACTGTGTATACTAGATATCATATCATGTTTTGAATTCTTTTACCATCTACGACTTTGACAAACCTATAGCAACTCAGAAGTCTACCCCAAGATTACAAAGCGGGAAGTATGAAATTATTAGAAATGAAGAAAAATCTGCAAGCATATTTATATTTATTGGATATTACTGCTAATCATAACATGGAAGTACATGACTCGTCCCAATATTATCTCATTGAAATAGTTAATCCATCTAAGACTTGTAGAATAGAAAAACTAAAACACTCTCCAGCTGCTACTTATCATCAGTCCAAAAGCAATTAAAGAATTATAAGATAGGACGTGTAGACAAGATGGACTAAAATTGTAAATACTACTCATTATGAGCAGTAGCTGTCCTATATCATATCCATACACAAATATTTAAATGTAAATTTACCTGGGGACCTCCATAATGATGAAAAAGCAACAAGTCATCATCTGTAAATGGGGCCAATAGTCGATCTATCTCATCATCAGTCTCATTCACTAACACCTCACCAACTAGGTTACCAGTTGAAACTGATGGACCTTCAATCAAAGGTAATCCAGACATATTTCCAGGAGCTAGCAAGCCAGTAGTTACTGGAGGACTGCTTTGCTCTTCAATCGACAATAGAGTTGTTGATGGACCATCAGATGCAAAGGTTATAGCATGGCTTTGATCATCATCAATGTCATCATCTTCCCAATCAGCTTCATTAAATGGTGCCCCATATTGCGCACCATTCTTTGGGCCTAGACCATTCTTTTGGAAGATTTTACACAGCACATATGTATCCTACAAAATATAAAGATTCACATAAGGCACTAACCTTGGTCTCACAACAATAACAAGAATAAGATAGAGACAACTCTCTAGAAATATCCATAACTGCAATATATATCTCTTCAATTCTGCTTATTGGTACTGGTACAGTTAACGAACAAATGCTTTATATTGGTTTAGGATTCTATTAACATTGGTTGCTGACACTATCAAAATTTCAAGTAACAAACACTGGTTCTTTACTTAATACAACAAAAATGCTCTACTCAATCTTGGACAGATAATCTCACTCAGTGGCAAAGTAGGGTGACTTTATGTTTCCATACAAGTTAAGGCAAGAAGCCCCATTCTTAACTAGTTGACAAAATAAACATGGAAATGGAGCTAGACATCTACAATAATATTAATACTATTAAATCTGTCGTCACTAACAAACGGCGGTTAACTCAGAAAACTGGCAGAGGAGTTTCCAGATGTGCTATCTTAAAATTACTTTAGGATTAAAGAAACCATCAATCTTAGCATTTTGACTTTAACTTACATTGATGAAGAAATTTAATGGTCCAAGCCACTATCGAGAATATTAAGGCAGATAAGCAATTTGCATAAGGTTAAAGTGGTCGAAAAAATTAAAATCAGATGTATATTTAGAAGAGGAACTAAAACTAAATTCATTATGCTTGACAACATTGTGTAAAAGATGAACAAAATAATTGGAATACCTGTAGTTAAAGGGAAAATAAGACTCAATCTTAAATTGCATTTAAGGATGCAGCAGGTGAGTAAAGAATAAAAATACCTGAACCCCTGCTGCAGCTAACTGGCAATCGAGAATGTGATACTCATGTAAAACCCAGTTGGTCCTTTCCCCTTGGGGTGCATGACCTAAATGAAAAATCAATGTCTTTATTGTTCCAACTTTTTTATTATTGTGATACACGGGTCTGTCTTTTCCTGTAGTTTTCCAATACCCATTTTCAGTAGCCCGCTTCACCCGAGCTCCACTTGCGTACTTCTTCTCTCTTGGACAAAAAAAGAACCAATTTTGATCCTTACTTTTCAAGCAAGATTTATCTGCAATGAACAAGAGAAACTTGTTAACAATTACACGTTAGCAAACACTAAACAAATACAAGGGTCCTACAAATGGAAGTATCAGAACGCAGCTTGATTGACATTGTTAAAAAAAATTATAGAATCCAAATTTAAATTAAACTGCTAAATTACAAAATGACAATCAGCATAATTTCAAATGTTTTCACTGACAAATGGCACACATTCCAATGTTACAAAAAATAAAATGTCAGAAAATTTAAGAGAAGTGACTGACCTGGAAGATCCCAAGGAGAGAATCTATAAATATTGACCTCCGCAATAGCTTCTAAGTGAAACTTTTTACCCATGATCTTCCTCTTGAGATAGTACAAAATCAACTCTTCATCAGTTGGATGAAAACGAAATCCTGGTGGAAGAGATGTCCTCGCCATAACAGCCACTATCTCCACGACACAACTACTTCTGTTCTATGAACTCCAACCAATGATATTTACTGCAAGAATCTTCACTCCCCACTGAACAAACCCTTATTCCCAAGAACAAAAGGGAAAAACGGAGCAAAAACAGAACGAACAAAAGACAAATTCCTATATTTAAAACTCCAAGACCTCACCTAAAACTATAAACACTGTCAAGTCCAATGCCGGAACAACTTTTTCAAGCACCGAAACCTCCCACCGTTCATGAAACAAAAAGCACACCAGACAAACCACTGATGATTCTTGCTGGAACCAAAAGACATCTGCTGTGCCCACAAACCCTAAAATTGGAACGATATGAGAAGGCTTAACCGAGAAACATGTATAAAGTCGAATTCAATTAACCAAAAACCACATCGCTGGAATAGCAAACCCTACTCGAAACAAAATCCATCAACACAAGTAAAAGCCCAAACTATCCAAATATATTAGAACATGAACTAATCTCGTTCAAAAGGACACAATGTAGTTATTAACAAGTGCTACCGTAATAATTCAACAATCACTGTGTCCTAAAAAATAATATTTTAGAGAATTGAGGATTCTAAAACGAATAACATCAAACAAATAACAAGACTTCCCAGAAAACCT